AAAAAACGACAGGGCGAAGGGATCAGACATACATACATATAACACTAGAAATAAACATAAATTAGTAACAAATAAAACTAGATTGGTAAAAACTTTAAAACAAGGAATAAACACAAAAATTAACTTGTACAATAAACTACCACTCAGTGTATCTCATTTGGCAATGGCTGCATTCAAGAAAAAACTAAAACATTTTTTTGAAAATCACGCTTTTTACAGACTCAACGAATTTATGGACTCAAATATAAGTAAATATTCATTTTCTTGAAAATCATGATAATAATTGTATTTTAATATGTATAATTGTCTGGATATTTTAAGTTTGTATTTTGTGTAATTGACTTACCTGTAGGCAATGTACTGTGTTGTCTTGGTGAATAAATATTTGACTTGACTTTGACTTTGACTTTGACTTTGTACTAAACAGGTAAAAATTACACTATTTAAAGCCTACTGTCAAGTGCTGTACACGTGCAGTCTGTGGGTCGCATATTCGGGGCGGACATTCAGCGATTTGCGTGTTCAATATAATAACGCATTCAGGGTGCTGATGGGGATTCCGTGGAGGTGTAGTGCATCGGGGATGTTTGCCGAGGCTCAGATGGACGGTTTCATGGCCATCATAAGGAAAAGGTGTGCATCTGCGCTAAGGCGCCTCCGTGATAACTCCAACGGCATCCTGTGTGTGTTTAAAGATCGGTGGGACTCGCCACTCCTGCGTAGGTGGATAGAGCTCCACACTATCTTAAATGTATAAGTAGTCTTTTCAATTATATTAATATTAATACTAACACTAGTTCTTAAGTTGTTTGGTTTACTAACTCTATATGGATTTTATCTGAAATAAATATTTGAATTGAATTATTCGTCACTAACTAAATTTCTTGTTCTCCCATAGCTTTATTGCCAGCGATTATAACAATATTAGGCGACTATGGATTCGGAATTGGTTTTGAAAAAGTTACTGATCGGCTTCTTTGGACTTCCAAAGCATTAATTCCGCCACACGCGGCGCTGATGGCTTTCTACACAGGAGGTTCCAGCGCATTGTCGAACGCCAAGTGCGCCATGAACTTGTGTAATCCTGCACAACCATCCAATGCGACGTGTTGTAGTAAGTACAAATAGAATAGAATAGAAAACATCTATTCCTTAAGTAGACAACACAGTACACATGCATTTTGTAATTATAACAATAAAAATAGTACTAACTACAAATATATGGAAGAGTACAGCGCGTGTGTGCTGTGCTGCCAAGGAAACCGTGACCCACTTAGCTTATTGTCGTCTCATTTATGGTGCTACGACGCTGATTTTCAGCGGATCCGGCAACAGAACACACGTGTCACGGAACATAGTAGCCGTGACAGATTGACCAATTATGTCCTTAAAACGCACAAAATATGTCAGAACGAACAGATTATTGACACAGTATATTAGTAATGACGTTACCACTTACATAATATATGCGTTAAAATGTGAAATTAATTTCATAAAACAAGTATAAATATTAGATTTAGTCATTTTGTGATATTAGTTAGAAATAATATCACAAAATGAATATAAATGTAGACTGTTATGTATTTTAACAGTAGACATTATTACGTCACACATAATTAAAAATAAAATTGGTATAGTGAATAATTGAATAAAATTGACATACAAAAAACAGAACCAAACAAGGAAAAATAATAAAAAATATAAAAAAAGTAATCTAAACAATAATAATAATCATATATTACGAACACAGATGAAATTGTTTTATTCTGAACCCAACGGAAAAGAGGATGTGTAAACAACCATTTATTTTGTTTTAACTTGAATATATATTATGTACGTACAGTACGCAAAGCTTCACATTTGGGGTGTTTAAGGCGTTACCGCACACGTTAGGGCGCGTTCCCATTACGTCGTGACGACAAACAGTAGTGCAGTTTAAAGTATCGTGGCTTGTATATTTAAATGAAGTTGTTCACACATAAAAGAATACGATTAACTGTCGTTCATGACTTTTTTTGACGTTGCAACGACAGACTGTCGTGACAATGGGAAGAGCTAGAACGACAGTCGTCGGACGATAAATAAAACGTCACAGTGCTCGCCATGTTAGCTATTGTGATAAAATCTTAAAATGGCTGTTTTGTCTCTCGAATTTGATAGCGAAATGTGGATATAAATAGCTTTATCGCGGTGCATGCTACAGAGGATGAATGCGATTCCGTGTCGATAAGTGTGATAGTCACAGTTCCTATCGTAAGTGGCATAGATTTAAATTTAAGGCCGGCCCGACAGCTTAAAGCAGCTAATATCGACTGCTTCAAGCTGCGACCACGTAGCTTACTACAGTATTCTATGTACACACATACACCAAACCGCTCGAGCAGTTGCGACTGCTTAGGACGGTTTGCAGCGCCTGACTGCTGGAGCTGTCGACGGCTCTCATGAAGTTACCTCCACCCGCACTGTTCATGTCACGCGCGCGTTTTCGCAGCATCAAATTCTACGCCACCGTCGTCGTCGTCTGAGCAAAAGTAACAGTGCTTCTTCCTCAAAATCCATGTTGCTAGTGATTTGAATATAAATGAAATTGTGACTTGGTGAGCAATTGATACAGCTGCAGTTGGTATCAACAATTCCAGCAGTTACAAATGGCAGCCTCAAACTGTTGACTATGACTGCTCGAGCGGACCGTGTATGGCCACCCCAAGTCGTTACGTGTTACATGCATTTATTCTCGTCTCCATTTTTCTATTAGCCTGTAAGATAAAGGGTCGAAACACAAAACTGCGATGCAGAAATCTACGAGCTCGCACGACGCATCGCAAGAATTTGCGAATTGCTCCGCATCGCGCATTCCTGCGATGTTAATCTTCTTTGCGTTCTTTTCCTATACTTTCTTATCAATAACAGCAGTGCAACACTCTTTTTACGATCCATGTTACGACCTATTTAAAAATTCTATTGGCGATCGTCAAAAGAATGATTACCCGAACCGTGGCAATGAGATGCCTTGCCGCACGAAATCGCATCGCAGCAATTCGCGTCACAGTTTCGACCCTACAACCGAACGAAACCCTTGAATTTGACAGCTGTGTGGCCACACAAGCCATCATTTATGCTTTAGTGCTTCTTGTGTGTGTAAGATCCATTAGATTTATTAGACAAACTTTCTGTTACTGAAACTAAATTAATTGTTTGCTTCAGAACATAAAAATCCAAGTTGCTACTTCTGTTTCGGACGTGACAAACCCGGGTCATCAATGTTAATACTCTTAGTACAAACTTTTATTTACATGGTAAGTGTCCTTCCATCACTAGGAAAATAGATTCTATTGGGTTAAAAGATAGGAATAGCCAATGGTATCACAAGCAAAGGAGGCTTAAGATCTTATGTACCACAAAGCATCAGAGTGCTATGATTTTAACAACCTTCTTCTAGGCATGAATTAAATATAATGTAGTAGAAGCAGTAATACAGAAACTTATACAAATTTGGACGCGATAGAAAATGTATATAAACCAGTTAATCCAATTAATTTAGACAGTTAAATTATCGAGTTCTTAGGTTTTCGGCGATTGCTACACATAGGAAATGAAACTATTTTTTCAGATCTCAACCGCATATATTTGTTTCTTTCAAACAAACCAACGTTTCGAGCCCTTAAGGCTGCCTTTCCACCAGAGACGTGCGACCTAGCGAGGCGATGTGTGAGAAAAAAATCCACCAGTAGGATTACTTCATCTGCCTAGCCTCGCTTAGCGCAACTCCGGTGGAAACTAATAATAATAATAACTGCTTCTGTGGTCGAACGGTTACCATGCCGTACTGCCACGGTCCCAGATTCGATTCCCGGGCCGGGAGAAATATTTGTATTGTCTACATTTATTTCTCTCGTGAGTTTGGGTGTAATTTGTAGTTGTCTATGTGTGTGTCCATGGCACCCGCGACACAGGGTTTCCCTAGTGCGGGATATGTTGAGTGTGTGTGTTATTATTATTATATATATTTTATTATAAAAGGTTTAGCGGAGCTAAGTATTGGTACATACAAAATAGCGAGATATGTGTGCGAGAGATGTGTGCGAAGAATGTGTGCGAGAGATGCGGGCGAGGAATGTGTGCAAAACGATGTAGGAAACCAAGCTACGGAAAGTATGACACTAACTGACACTGACACATCGCCTTCGCTCACCCCACCACACCGCACCCCGCCCACGCATAGCTCAAAGGAGTCCGTAACGCATCCTCGCACCGCGCCGCTACACATCCTCTCACTGCCTAGCTACCTCGCACAGGTTTGGTAGAAAGGCAACCTTACAGGTCCCATGGTCATTGCTAGGTACTTGTGGTGGGCCGGACTTAAGTGGATGCTGCGGTGGATGCGGTGGTTGTTGCTGTCCTTGCATAACCATATACACGTGCTGTACTAAGATTTGTTAGAGCAGCTAGCCCAGCATGGTCGCTCCGGAGCAGTCGAGTCATGGCTTCTACGGAGAGCGGCGGACGCGTAGATGTCGTGTTTCTCAGTGTTACCCATAGTACAGTTGATGTGGAAATAAAGTAATAATAATAAGCGTAATTCATTCAAATAGTTGGCCAATTGGTTTGACGCGATGTTTGAATAATTATAAAATAACAAGTCGGAGAGTTAACTGCTGTTGAATCTCGTTAAAAAAAACTATTTATGGTCATATCTATTCCTTTAAGCGCCCAGTTACTCGAGACGAAAGTTTCCGCCGCCGCCGCGTGGCGACCGCCCAGTTACTATATCTTCATCTATATTAATGGCAAATTTGAATTCTATTTAGTACACAACAACATTTAAATTCCTCTGACTAATACAACAAAGTAGGCCAAAATCAAGGCAGTCCGCCTGTGTGCCCGGAACGCTCACTTAAGTTAAAATGTCAAAGCTAAACAAAATAGAACGTATTTAGTCATGACAGTTGGGCGCGTGTATACGCTAAGAAAAGTCGCCGGGTTTATGCAAGAATTCGTGTCATTTCTACACACGAACTGTGTACACAGTCTCGGCGTCGGAGAAGAAAAAAATCTTGTCTACCCCCAACGCGACGCGCTCTGCCGCTATTGCATAGGGCGCATTGTCGGTAAATGAACGTTTATGCGCGTGGACTGATTTTGCAAAGTACCACTGTTGCACCACTAATTTCATTGCGACTAATAAAATGCATGATTTATTTATAAGTTTAGTAGAGGAACGACCCGTATTGTGGGAGAAAACCTTAGAGATTTATAAAGATAAACGACGACAGCTACCTGGAAGTGCACTGACACGTTTACCCTACACACGTCTGCCCGAAAGCATTTGTGTCGTGTGCATACTCATCATTTTCTTGTCTACAACAGACACATATTTCGTGGCTCTAGATCCGACAAAATTCTTGTCGTGTACAAGGCCATTCTCGTCTTTTCTGTTGCAGACACGAGGAATTTATTAGCGTGTACACGCGTCGTACTCCGCTTTTCGACCGCGCGGGGTGAGCGCGATGACATTCGTGTACAATAAATGCGCTCTTATTCTTTCAATTACTTTTTCAAATAGATTTATTGAGCATTGGCTTAAAAAGACAATAAATAAATTTTATTTTATTTATTAATGGCAAACTAGAAGTACCTATATACATTTATATTTCTAAATTAAACAACGAAGTAAGTAAGTAAGTAAGTTTACACTTGTAGAAATAAAGTAACTTAAATAAGTAAGCACTCTAATAAAAAAATCAACAGAAATAGAATTTTACAATATAACTTTATAAAAAGTGTACAGCCAACTACCTAGCTGTAGCTAGCTGGCTATACATGAGTGGTCAGGGAAAGCTGTACTATCACTAACAACCCTAGTTGCCTACCTAACAGCCTAGCCCTAACCATACGCTACGGAATATATACTTATATAAATAGTAGGGGAAGCCTGTCACCGTGCGACCTAAGGCAACAGACGGAAAGGGGGAAGGATAAGGGTGCTTTAGGAAATGGTTTTCTCACTGCCAGTCTCACAGACTCACAAGACTGATCAGATAAGCTAACGGCTAAAGGTGTCTTGGCCGCAGTGAGAGGATGCTGTAGTCAGGAGTGCTCCGTTGTCAATAAGACAGCGTTGATGTCTGAATTCAAAGAGGGTTTTATTTACAAAACTTAAGCTATTTATACAAAACGGTATTTATGTGTGTGTGACTATAAACAATATTATTTTTAAATGTATACATAAAGTTAACTACTCTACTCAGCAGCCTAGTTCAGAACGGTCATTGCACTGCTGAGTAGTCTATTGTCATCACTTAGCAAATGTCCGGTCAGGTTGTCTGTTTACGTCGCGTGCACGTGAACATTTTGGCGCCTCTCACGAAAAGGCTTTCAGTTCGTAAAGTTGAGGTGCAGGTGACTTCTTCCTCACAGCTGGCCGTGCGTAGATATGTAGCTGTGTCTTTGGCTGAATTGGAGTTGCAGGCCTGCTGGAGGGTTGCTGCTCGGTGCTGTCGTCGGCAGGCTGGCCGCTGCTGCTATTTTGTGTCACCAACCGTCTGGCTGCTACCATGGCTCGTAGTCTTTGTGCTATCTGTGGACCACAACAGTATATTAATAAGGCAAAAAGGGAAAATATTATTAAGGAAGTAAAACTAGCTACGTATGTTTGGGTACTTATGCTTTGCCAAACAGTATTGTCTAGGGTTGTTTGTAATGTACTTTCTTTATTTACTAAATTATTAAAAATATCTTTAGAGCTATCTAAAACCTGTTCCTTAGAAAAGTCATTAGTCATTAATAAAGATCTGTTATAGTCTAATTTAAACTGACTAGTCCTACTATAAGAAGCTAAAACATTAGTTGAAATAATTCTTTTCGCAGCTAATGTGGTAGTCATTGTTTTTATTATGCAGTTTTCTGAAATTTGTATTATTCCAACATCGTGGATGGAGACTTCTTCTCTTTGCCCGTCACACACAATGGACACAGTTTTTGATTTCTTTGTCAAATATAACCAAGTATTTGTCATTTGAACTCGTTTCCATACTACGTCACTTGCCAAATTGTAACTTTTTGTCGGGCAGTCTGTATTGTTTTCATTTTTAGTTATAAGTCTAACAATGCAATTTTTATTCAATTGCATGTTTTTCACCGCCACAGGGAAACAGATGAAGTTGTTGTATCTGTGCAAACAACTTTTGAATTCTTCATGAGTAAGTCCAAAGTAGCGTTCATTATTGTAGTCTATTCCTATAAAAGGCTGAGAAGGGTCTATGCTTTGGAATGTTCCATCTGGATGTTTCACTGGTACGGGCGTCACGTGTAACAATGTGTATTTTGCTTTCTCTGCTATCGGGAAGTAAGATAGTACTCTGATATGTGTCTCATTTTCTGCTAATTTGGTGTCAATCAGCTGCGTCTGTATGATGTGGAGATTGGAGGGTAATTTGCTATTTGCGTCTTCTATTATATCAGCTATGTCTTTTGGAGATATTACACTATATACAGTAGCTTTTGCTAGATATATCTCCATCAGTCCTGAGTAGTAGTCCATAATTTCTTTAATGTAATTATAAGCTAATTGGTATGACTGCATTACTTGAATTTGTATGCGATCCGCGTTGATTGATTTATCCTAAGAACTAAAAAAGACTTTTTATTTCTTAAATAAAAAAGAAGTCGCTAAGTAATTTTCTCGCTGTGACAATTTTGGTATTGAAGATATCAATATTTATTTTATTAACTAGGTTATTGATGTTGTTGCAAGCTCGCAGCAGAAACGAATTCTTTCTGTAATTGGTTGAAGCTATAGGTATGTCAAATACTTTGTTAACCCTGAAATGCAAATAATTAAGAAACTCAAAACATACTTAATACTTAATTAAATTTATGGAATGTCAAGATGTTTTCCCACCATGATAGGTATTCAATTTTTTGTTTTTGAAATTACTCCACTAGTTTGTTATAATAATTCTTAAACTAAAAAATAATTCATTTAAAAACTGTAACTACAAGGAACCGCCATTTTAACATTTTTTGTTTCAAATGCTTACTTGAACTAGACATGCAAAGAAGTACCCGTTTAAAAGAAATCTTTGTACAACATTTTGTTGTTTTGTTTTTAGTCAATGTTCCGCAGAAAATTCAATTTTTTAATACATTTTTACTGAATAGTCGGCCGATTGCGGATGTTCGGAAAGTCTGCCGATCATGCTGAATACCGAAGTTAAAACGAAAATTCGGCCCACCCCTACTAGGCACTGTTTTGATAGGTCAATATGTGCAAATAATCAAATGAATAGCGACACTTGGTTACTTAATCTCTATTGTATTTCTTTACATTGCTTTTTTTAGTTACAATGTAACACACTATAAATTCAATTTGGTGACGATCTTATCTAAATTGCACAACTAGGCACTTATGAGTGAACACAGCTTGCAAAAACAACGTAAAATGTAAATTGTACTAATAGAATTTTTTTTTAAATTAAAAAGTAATACAAACAAAAACAATAAATGCAAGTGAACAAGGGTCTCGGACAGCATCAAACTAGATGGACATGATTGTAGTACTGACTTTATTGTAATACTATCGCTATGAGGCATTTATTATATTACAGTTTCTCGTGCTCTTGACTCAACACGGCTACCTGAAGCAATGGTGGAATAAGCTGTTGAATTTAAGATACGTCAGGCCGCTGAAGCGTTGCAACGACGAAATGGTCCGAGCCGAAGAGGTTTACGTCAGCAACGCCGCTGCACTGCGTAAGTAGATGCACCGCCCTAATGTAAAATGCTCTGGCCACATAGAGGCGGGAGCGGGAGCGTTCCGGGCGCGGGAATTTGTGTAATGTTCGAGATCTTATGAACCCGGGTTCGAACGCTATGACAAACAGGCGGGGCGGGTGCGGGTGCAGAAGTTGTATTCGATTTCGCCCTATACAACCGTCCACACAGTGCGGTATTAGCGGGGCGCGGTCCGGGAGCAGGATTGGACGTTGTATTTTTTATAATTCAATATGAATTTTAAACTGCCTCCGTGGCCAAACGGTTACCATACCGGCCTGCCACGCAGAGGTCCCAGGTTCGATTCCCGGGCCGGGAGAAATATTTGTATGGCCTACATTTATTTCTCTCGTGAGTTTGGGTGTAATTTGTGGTTGTCTATGTGTGTGTCCATGGCACTCGCGACACAGGGTTTTCCTAGTGCGGGGCTATGTTGAGTGTGAGCGTTATTATTATTATTAATTCGACCGAATTTTCTTTTGCATTGCTTCCGAAGCGATAATATAAGCAGAACATTTTCTTGATGTTTCTCCAACAGCGATGTGGTTTTAGAAACTTTGGTGGGTGATCCCTATTAACCACCCGAATTTAACGTGCTCTCTGCGGGGATTGCAGACAAAGTCAAAACTCTTTTTAATAGTTCATCGTTATTTTTAGTTCAGTACGAACTAGAAACTCTCTGCGTTGATAGTTCACCTGTCTTTTATACAGTAGGAACGGTGCGAGCGGAACAAATAGCGATCTTTAACTACTTTTAGTACAAGTTCGAGTGGGATGCACGATTGAACGTTCCCAGCTCGTTCTAAGTTTGTAATACGTATCTACGTTATGTATAATATATACAAGCTTGCAAAAAAGGAAGTGCTCATATTTTTTGGTAGGTGTGGTAGGTATCTGTATGTATAATATCAACCTACGAGTATATGAATATCAACCTACGAGTATAGTATCTAAACATTGACTTACAATTATATGGACGTCGGGTCGGCGCTAAAAAGTGTCCGAACTTATAGGGCGTTAAAATCGTATACAGAGCGTCATTCACGCTTTAGTCTTCGTTTGTTCGACTGACAGCGAAGCAGGCAAAATTAGACAGTACTGCGATGACATTACAATTTAAATTCAACGTTTTAGCTTTTTCATATTCCGTTAAATGTCACTACGTTTAAATAGGTTGACTTGGGACTTTTTTTCGTGGTTTTTTTATTAGACCCGTCGTCCATTTATTTGTAAGTCAATGTATCTAAATGTGGATTTTTAAAAACACCATTCTAACTAAAATTCTTGTTTTGTAAAAAAAGGATATTTAGTTACAATGACAGTCTTAAACCTGTAAAATGTGAAGGAAAATAAAATAGTACCGACTCCATACAAATTATATTTTTAAATATTTAGTGCAGTGTACTATACTAGAAGTCCGTAGTAGTTCATGTGAATAAAATTACTAGTTTGGAGCGTTCGTTCAATGTCCGAGCAAGGACAACACGAACTTGACGAACTATCTAACTAAGGTACTAGATGAACTAAATGAACTAGAAGACCGACCTAGTTCAGTTGACCATTTGAACTAACTATGATCGCTCACAAGTCTACTGACCGGTAGCAGGCACCGCCGCAGGAAGATACTGAGCGAGACAGAACGATATGGTAAACGAACGGAAGGCACTAAGAGCAGAACAAACTTTACCATCAACCATAGTTAATTGTAAAGTGTGTGAGATTTTAATTTCGCGACCATTAATAACAATTAAAGTGGGTACTAATTCATCAATTTGACTTTTGAAATGAGTTTTTTCTTGTATACATATATATATGTCCTTTGATTCTTTAGTAAATTAGAAACAAATTGGTCGGCACCACCTAGTAGAGGAAGGTCGTGGATTTTTCCAAATAATAGATTCATCAGAGGTGTTTGATTTACAAATAAGTTGTAGGGATACATAAGAAGTAACAAATAAAGTCGAGTCGATTGCTGAATCTGAAAATTTCTGCTTGTATTCACTACCTATGCTGCCATCAGAACCCGATTTACCAATTAAAACAAATTCTGTCTCACATTCGGAAAGACTATCAAAACAGGCTTTTGAGCTCCCTAGTTTCTTCCAATATCCAGCAAACCGTTTACAGAGATTATAAATTAAATCCCTCAAGTTATTGGTCTGGATATTTTCAGTGCCCGGTAAAGAGTCTGCTAGAATTCCAAACACTTCACGAAATCTATCTGCCTCATTTTCTTTACTCGTCGCAGATAACCAAGTGTTTAGAACAAGCATTCGAGGAAAAGAACACTTGATGCTGGCCTCTGCAGAATAAAAGAAAGATAAAATTACAAAAATATCTAAGGTATCAAATTTACCTATATTCGACCTAGTCCATTCAATGACCTATAAGCAATCCACGGCGCACTTTGGCGCACTTAGACGTTACAGTTTTTAAAACTAAACAAACAAGAGATTATTTTGATATATGTTTCATCTTTCTGGATTTGTGCCTTCCTAAGTAAAAGTCTAATTGAAAATGGGAAAGCAGCAAAAAACAAAGAAATCGGAAGTCTTTTTTTGACGGTGCTGGTTACCAATAATGACAGGGTTAAAGTAAACAAATTATCGTACATACCTTTTTTTTTAATATCCATGGCAAAACAAAAACACAAACAATCAATTTCCGAGAAAAACAACAAATCAAATCAAATCAAATGCATTTATTCGTCAACATAGGATACAGTACATTGAAATACATGGTATTAAATAAGTTATAGCGACCCTCTATGTTGCACCTTCAGGCATACGAACTACATAAGTGGATGATGAACATAGTTATTTTACTTAATTATTATTTATTTACTTAATTATTACTCAATTTTAACACTTAGAAAACAACAGAAATTTCGGCGAAAAGGTAACCCTAATGAGCACTAATGAAGTGTTACCACTTCAGGTGCACAGAATTAAATGTTCCATGTATGTTACTGCAATTTCTTTTATACCTGGGTATAGAAGGGGTATTTGTCTACCCTCTAAACGATAAATGACATCATAATTTAACCATCGACATTTCAGTCGTATGAACTATGGCGGGACCACCGTGGGCTGGCTTGATTTTGGTCTACGCGGCGGCCGCGCGATGGCCTGGCGGTTGTGTTATTCAGAGGAATTAAAGTGATGTTGCCTAGTAAATAGACAGAATTCAGATTCGAATTAGGCGGTCACCGCACGGCGGCCGCGCGAAAGCTTTCGCCTCGTGTAACTGGGTGGTCAGTAGGTAGGGTAATCTTTTGGAATTTTGCTTGATTGCATTGCATTCGAAAGTACGATATTTTGAACCGGCGTACTTTAAAATTGTCTAATTTATAATTATTTGTATCACGATCGTGGCTACAAAATTATAATAACTATAATAACACACACCCAAAGGAAACCCGCATCGCGGGTGCCATGGACGCACACATAGACAACCAGAAATTACACCCAAACTCACGAGAGAAATAAATGTAGGTAGTAACCATTCGGCCACGGAGGCAATTGATTATTTAGTACACATAAATGATCAAACTTCTTTGCTAGAAGCTTTTATGACTACTATCCTCTTAACACCTTATAATATTTACATAAAAGGCAGCGTGATATTACAAATTCAAATATTTTTCTTTGATAATAAAGACTAGATGTTAAAAAAAATGCTCGATTTATTGCAGCTGTGGCGGCGCAAGCTACCAACGCGTTATTGGTTAAAGACGTGCACGAAAACTACGTAAGCCTTGAAAGCTGCCGTATCAAGAACTGTAACGCCGTCAAGGGTGTTAGCTTCTCTATTAAAAAAGGTAATGTTACGTGCTAATTAAAATAAATGTGCTAATATACTTAGTCTCTTCATGATTGCCCTATTGTAGTAGCAATTGGAATTAATTACCTGTCAAAACTAAAAACCTGAGCCTACTTTAAAATTATAACGAATGTTTTTGTAGCGACAATTTTACCATCACGAAAATTTCGTACAATACCTCAGTACTAACACACACTGTATGTAAACGCACACGCACAAAAACACACACACGCACGCAGCTTTTTTTCAAATATATCTTTTCATTTACTTTTTACAAATAAAAAAAGGTTCTCCCAAACTTCATGAAAGTTTGTCAGGAGAGTTTGGTTGCTACGCTTAATATTACAGTCACATAAACATTACATTCAGTGACCAACATTACAGTTTTTCAACTAAGATTTATCATCAACAACGCCTTCAGGACACTGGTGGGGCTCTCACGTTTCTGCAGTGCCTCAGCCATGTTCACTGACGCGCGCGTAGATAGTTTTAGGACTGTTTTACGTAAAAAGTCGGCGTCGCTACTGAAGAGAATACGCGACAGCCCCAATAGCCTCCTGAAGACAGCTGCTGACAGGAATGAGTGCCCAATTATGCGGCACTTAATAAATAATACAAAGTCCCTGGTAACATATAAGTACTAATATAGTTTTAAGTCTGTACCTACTAACATTTGATTGGATCTCAGTTGTCTCAATAAATAAATGTTATTATTATTATATCGTTACTAAACTTTAAAAAGACAACGAGGAGTTTGTTTTTGATTTGTTCGAGTATTACTAGACCTCCTGTTTCCTGCGAAAGTCCAATCGCGTGCGTCTGCGATCTATGACGGCTGATCAGCGCCGTCAACACCCGAAGGGCCATGACGACGCCCGATAGGTTACGTCAACGCTCGAATAACCGCATCGACACCCGAACGATTCCAAAGATACGAAGGCTACATTACGTATCCCCGATCCGCGACAATGGCTGAACGGTGACGCTGACGCTCGAATAGCAAATCAGCTTAATGCAACAGGTGTAGTAAACCGATCGCCTCAAACCGATACCGCATTGATAAATGCGATGACTCCTTTAGAATGGATTAACACTAGATCACGCGCAACTAGAACATACTGACCAAATAACCAAACAATAATCAATTCGAGCTCTATCAGCTTCGAGTCCTACAAACCTTCATCCTATATGACTAAACAAATACATTTCCGCATCTATAGTGCGTAAACCCATTTTAATAATGTGTAAACATGTAACGAAATTGCAATCAAAAAATTTCGGTATACGTTTGTTGTTTGTTCATTACAATATCCGTATACCTAAATAGGTATCGCATTTTCATTACTTAAATAAATGTCGACAATACATGATCAAGAACATGTCAAGCTTGAAACTCTATGCCGCTTGCAATCAGAACGATCCAAAGTACGTACATAATGTATCAAGCTTGATGCTTATTTAATAGTCTAAAGCGCTTGAAAATATATTAGATCTCTAACCCAAAACCTTTGCTATGCAGTAGCATATATCTGGAGACACAAGCTAATGACAATGTTAATTTTGCAACGAATGCATGATTGCCAGGCGAGTGCTTCGGCGTGCTGGGCGTGAATGGTGCGGGCAAGTCGAGCACGTTCCGCACGATCACCGGGGAGAATCTCGCGACTCTAGGACGCGTAGTCGCTAACGGAAACTTCCTTACATTGTGCCACAGGCAAAGAGTAATTATTTATTTCTTTAATACCCATTATCACAATAATTTCACAACTTGCTGATTTTGAATGCATGAAATTCTCCAACAATGTACACACATCAAAAGTGTCTAGG